TGAATCACTAGAAACATGCTCTAGCCATGATTGTTGTTTGGATTGTTTATAGTTTCTTGGCAACGAATAAACTATGAGATGCCGTATTGGAGTATGAGTCTAATCTTATAGATTACTAGATCTATGAATCACTAGAACCATCAGTGTTGTTCGGATTGTTTATAGTTTCTTAGCAGAGTAAACTATAAGATGCCGTATTCCAGTATGAGTCTAATCTTATAGATTAGTAGATAGTATGAATCACTAGAATCATAAGTGTTGTTTGGATTGTTTATAGTTTCTTGGCAACGAGTAAACTATAAGATGCCGTATTCGATACGTATTCGTATTAAGATACCCTATGCCATAAAAGTACAAGAATCTTGTCAATCATGAGATGATTGACAAGATACTAAATATTCTGTTTGAGTCATATGCAGTTCACGTGACGGCAATAACCAATAACAATGCGCTATTGGGATGCTTTTGTTTCAGCGCGCCTAATTTGAATATGTCCGTAAAACAATAGGCATTCTGCGCCATGTCACAGGTCGAGAAAAACCGAAGAAAATCACTCAAATCAAGAGAGAGATCTAATTAACAAGCTTTACTCGCATGTTGTGCGGTGTACAGGGATCGAATAAATCTCAGGTACTTACTGTCAAATTCTTGTTAGTTAACTTCATTCCTTTCAACAATGCTTTCTTGATGTTCAGATTTGCAAAGCATGGTGCGTATCCATTGATGTTATATGTCGATGTCTATAACGCAATGCATGAGGAAAATCAGATTAAAACATTCTCTATAAAACTACGAAATTTACTAGAATGGATAGTATAATTATGTATTTAGAAACGAATTAAACTTGATTTGCAATCAACACCCGGTAAATGATAAATTTTGATCACGTATTGGCATCAATCGGTGGATTTTTTATTTCAAAGTCTTTTAACTTTTCGAAAGATTGAACTAAAAATATTCAAGAGATTGACATATCAAAATATATTAATACCTCGGTATATATGCTTGAAATTTTGCCAAAGGATTTTAGAAATTATTCTGAGAATCTGTCTCATATTTATTAGGTGAAAAAAAAGATCTAGTGCTCATTTTTGATTTTGAATTCAAAACTCTTTAAGCGACTTACCAGTCTCTTGTGTGCAAACAGAGTATTACTGATCAGGAAGCTGGCCTTTTTGTAAAGTTCCTCGTAGCAGATTTTTATCTGTATAGGTAGATTGGAATTGGGGCTCGAATCCTGACATGACTGTCCTGGACATTGTTGAATGAAGAAAGCTAGGATGATCGTTATCAACACTGTAAGGAATTCTGAAAAATGAAGGGAAATATTTCCATCAACCATTTACTTTTGTATTCTTCTACATTACTACTATGTTGTGTATTTGGCAGTTACGTTATTTCCGACCTCGTCAAATGAGAGTACTATAAAGTGTCGGTAACATTAACATTTCCATTTGCCAAATAAGAACTTAAACATAATTTTTAACAAAATTGAAATTGTACTGGCGTTTTTAGTCCTTCGCCGTAGTTAAGAAATGAAGATTCTTCATCCAATTGCCAAATAAGAACTTAAACATAATTTTTAACAAAATTGAAATTGTACTGGCGTTTTTAGTCCTTCGCCGTAGTTCTTCATTTCTTAACTACGGCGAAGGACTAAAAACGCCAGTTTAGATTCATCCCAAAAAATAGAACATTTGTACTTTGTTTTGGAATCGATAGATTCTACTTAATTTTTAAGTCAATACAATGAAATGCTCAATAAGACATACTTACTTTTCATGATAGACTCTTTCCTCGTTTGTAAAGTACACTTCTTGAAGTTTTCTCCAATTCAAATGGTGTCTTACCATTTTTCTACCCATCTTTATATATCTTTTATGTTTCCTGTTGTTGGGCTCATGTTCTAAGTTAAGCATTCCGATACACTAAATGTTGTCAGATTCAGTTTTTACAGTAGCTATTATCACTACTAAGGAGGGATGTGCGGTTTTGGACGGAGGGTCCCCCCGCATCAAGGGGAAAACAATTACTTCCGGTATGACACAGGTGCTTTGGGTGTTTTTTTTTTTTTTTTTTTTGACTGATTGCTAGGAGGCAACAACAATATACCAGGCATGAAAAAAAACGTGCATTCAATACTAAAAATCACCTTATTTTCCTTGAAAGTCATAGTAGTTAAAATAGTAGTTAAAATATTTCAAAAATATGCTTTAAGTCCTATCAATTCTTAGCTCAAAAGCATTTTATTCTATTCAAATTATTTCACAATTTGGCCACCTGTTTTTCTTGCAGGAGTCGGGAATTTTATTATTTTTCTTCCAAAATTAGAAAAAAATTATTGTGAGGATGTAGTATCTAAATACCCCAGAGAATAATCCACTGGCCTTTTCACTAGGCTTCAGTTCAGCTAAAAAGTCCAAAACAAATGAAAAAATCACCGTTCCCTTAGATTTACCATTGATATTCAGCGTATTTTTCACGAGGGAAAACTCCCCCAATACGAGGATGTTTACTTATTCCCTTTTATCGCTAACAGCTTTTGATTCTTATTCTTTCGAAAAAAATACAATAATATGAATATAGTATGGCATATATAATGGAATTCGATCCATGAATTTCACAGATTCCAAGCTTCAAAATTACAGCCGAAAATTTTTGTGATTTCCATATTTCCATACTATCAGTTTATGTTAAAAAATACATCGAAAAATATATTTAAAAACTAGGAGAAAATTTCATGGTATGTATTTACTATATTACATTTTTGCTCGTTCATAGATACTCTGAGTTTATGTAAAAAATGCATCGAAAAAAATATAAAAGATAGGAGAAATTTTACAAATTGTATGTAATGTACTATGTGTTTACATCTTAGAAAATATTTTGCTGAAACAATGCCACAAGCATAGATCTTCCTGCTGAGGTAGAAAGTGTCGGTCAATATTTCGGTTTTTCTGATTGTTCTTCTCAAGTAAAATCTAGATGTGAATCAATTATAAAATTCACAAAAGTACCTAACCTAAGGCATAGGAATTTTCACGTTCTTTCGCTTTGACAAAACATATTAGTTAAAAAATGAAATTTTCTCGTAAAACAAAAATCATCAAAAACCATTCTGTGTAATTCAATAACAATTTATTTATCTTATTATCAATTTTAGCATGTGATCATGTTATCCTCAGAAATTGCCTACCATTTTTAGCAGAAAAAATCTTTTTTGGTCATTATTGTGTTAGTGGTTTTAGTCGATATCTTGTTCAACATATGGTGTCTTAGCATATTGTATTTTTGCTTTCGCTTTTCTTTTCTTTCTTAGTTAACTCGTTCCTTAGCAGTTCCGTTAGACGTATTTTACATAATATATATTCTTTTCATATTCTTTTATATTTGTAGCCAATTGAAAATACAAAAATTGCTGAAAAAACTGCTTTCTTTTTGGGGAATGCACAAAATGGTCCAATCTTTCCTAATTACATACTAAGATAATTTAGAACTAATTTGCGTCAAAAACAATTCAGAATAGACACCAGATTTATAACAAACGCATGCAGAGCACTCCATTTATTGTTGAATGGTTTATTGTTAAAACGAATGAAGACTTCCGTAACATTAATTGTTTTCGTCCAAGGTTTTAGCTAACCCAATTCAACGATCATTTTCCCCCTGTTTTCTAGATTTTTGTTTGGCTTTTTGTTTGACAATTTTCTATTCTCAGTGAAAAACTATTGTACAAATACTATTTTTAACTTTGCTTGAAATATGTCACTATGGAAATGAATCCCCGTCTTTTCCGCGTCTTCTTATATTTTAAGGTTTGAAGACGGAAAATCTCTCTCTTTGATTCGTAGAACAGTACTAATTTTGAAGCAAATATTATTTGTTGCAAACGCGCGCAAGCATTTCCGCGCCTTCTTCGGAAAATCTCTCCCATTGATTCGTAGAATGGTACTAGCTATAAAGAAAATATTTGTCGTTGCGCGTGCGTGTTTTCAAGCACGTTTTTTGGAGCGCTTTTCTGAAAGCGAGATATTTTTCTATTTGATTGGAAGAAACGTATCGATTTTAAGCACTTTTTTTTCTGTGCGCTCTTTTTGATTCTTGAGGAAGGAATATTTCTCTATTTGATTCGTAATAGTAAGGACAAAAATAAACACCTATTTTGAGAACACTTCCCAGATTCAGTGAAAACAAGATATATATAGTGATACCATACACCAAATTATGTAACATATAAAAAACGCGGTCATTGAATATAGAATGGCCTAACCCTTCCGCAACGAAATAAAATGTTACCTACTTCTATCTAAACCTACAGATAATGCCTATTTATACTTACGTAGCTTTATCTATGACATTTATCGAAGAAGTAGAACCTTATAGCTGTCATGGAAGGGGTTAGCACAACAGAGCTGGGCTCAACACTAATCGCGCCCTTTATCAGATTTGGTTCTTAGTGTTTAGCAGCAGCAATAGTTCATAAAAGCTTTAGTCGTGTTTACTATTTGTTTATTGCGCGCATTCTCGTCTAGATCTTGAAGTCTTGGATGTTTATTAGTTACATGATGTTCTAACTGATAATAATAATGATAATAATAATAATAATAATGATAACAATAATAATAACAATTAATGAATATCCATGGAGGATGCAAAACATGAAGGCGCTTTAAAACATAAGGTTTGCATGACAAGTTAGTTCTTGAGTCCCCCCTGTTTGTTAAATTGTCGCAATGTAAAAACCATAGTTTGCATGCTGCTTGTACACCATGGCGAGCCCCACGGCATGCCCCATTTATTTATCATCTTATGAAAACAGTTACGCTTGAGAAATAAGTTTATTCGGAGGGCAGAGGATTCAAAATCGATATAGATGCGCAAAATAGATCAGTCAATAACTGAAATGAAATCGTTCAAACAAACGGCAAACAGAGATAACATGCTGGTGGTGCTGTGTTATCGATCCTATGACAATCCCGTGTCAGATGAGTGTTGCGTGGTCAAGTGTCGGGCAATTCATTTCCTTATTTGGGTTTCACGGTTGACTCATGATGGTTTTACGATACTCGTTGCCTTCTCTTCAATTTGACACCTCCTTTCATTCACAATAAAAGAGTGAACGAACGAACGAACGAACGAACGAACGAACGAACGAACGAACGAACGAACGAACGA